CCATGCAAAACTGAAGATGGTTTTATAACCAAGATAATTGGAAATATCGAGTGGTAGGATTGCCTTTCAATATTTTACAATCTGTATTCAGGACTGTGAAATTCACTTCACTGAAGAGCAAGAAAGCCGAGATTGTGATAAGTAGCAAACCGATTGGAGAGAAAACCTGCCCTTTGGCTCCCTGGACTGTAACTTTCGATGGATATGTTCATAAAATCTGCCGGGTTTTGGTATGTAAATGAGAGATTTCTCAGTGAAACGTTCTTGCTTTTCAGCGGGAGAATCATGTTGAACACAAGAAAAATGTTGTTTTAAGCGACGAAATGGACGTGAGATGGGAGTACCCTGTTCTACCAAACGATAAGTCGTTTGACATAGAGATCTACAACATCAGGATTAAGGGATTTCAGTTAGTTTGCTTGAGTACTTCCAATTATCTTTGTTCTCTTAGTAAATTTGAAATGAAAAACTTCGATAGTGCAGATGCAAACGAAGATTTGGTATTGGATGTCAACGGTGTAAAGCTTCACTGCCACAGTCCGGTAGGAGAGTTGATGCAAGTCATTAATCTGTTATAATTCAGATTCTATCTTGGAACTCGGAGATCTTCAGAGCTATGATCGAAGAGAGGTGAGAGCCAACTAGTTGACTGTTCCAACCTTTCCATTACAGCGAAGTGTCTTCTGAAATCTGTTTGATGGATACGATTCCAGTCGAGGATCTTCGAGAGCTTCTTCATTACCTTTACTTACCTTGTGAGCCGGTAGATGGTATGATGCTCCCCGCAGTTCGAACTTAGTCTTTTTGCTTTCAGATCATAACTTCCGACAGTTGCTTCATTGGGGACAGAAGTTCGAAGTGAAACATGTCATTCAATTGTGTCAACACTACATGGAATCATTGGTGCTGGGCCCAAGTATAACCGACGCAATACGAATAGAAATCTTCCTTCTGTCTTGGAGATACTCTGTTGAACACTTGAAGGTAGGTGAACTCACAAGACGTTTCTCTGAATGAGCAAGACTTCCAGAATATTTACGCAAAAAAAGAAACTCGTTTTGTATCTTCCGACTGGATGATGAAGGTCTTTGAATGTGAGCTCTATAAGAAAATGGACAAGGACATGAAACTTCAAATGTGGG